TGTCCTTTTCCGTTTCTTAAAAATTCAAACCGGAGGTAAAATTGAAATTAATCACTTGATCTTATTCGTGCACCGAAGTTATAAGATTATTTATGTGCCTTATCTCGGTTACTCGGAGCAGAAGTAGCAGATTTCTGCAACTTTTCATCACGACAGGTGCCGCGAATCCTTGACACACATCATTATGCCGTTATTAAGGCAGGATAACTACGTATAGCGGATTCGAAACGGATAGATTCGCCATGGCGATAAATCGCGGAAGATTAACATATCACATACATTCATAACTTTTTCTTCTCTTTGCTTTTTTTTAACTAGTTTTAACTATATGTTTTACTTCTGTCTTCTTTAATTAAATTGCTAGAAACAAATTAAATTGTTTTTATACCCTTAGGCTTACAATCGTTTAGTTCTTTTGACAAAAATGAAGTTCATTTAGTTAATTTTCGAGGAAAATGAAGTTATTGCGCTTTAGACTTCAATTGAAGAATTTTGAATTGACAATATTGAAGCATTGAGGAGGAGGAGGTAGCAATGAACGTCCCAATATATCTAATATTTACTTATATCTATTTATCATACTATCGTAGTTTAAATTGTATACATGATCAAGTGAAAATTAGTAAAAGAATCAGTCTGTCATTATTTATTATCTATCAAAAATTTAAAAAATGGAGACAAATAAAATAAATCAAATAATGGTGATAATAATTAAAAATGATTTACGGAATATAATTAAGATTTTTAATATTAATTGAAACTTTTCCTGTATATTGAGATGGCTAGTACAGCCAAATTATTTTTTGATGTAATAGCAGTTGCTCTGAGAATTGTTTTTATTTCAATTATCCTTGAATAGCTAATATATGGAGAAATCTAAGTTTCTAATGCAGTCAACAAAATGATATCACGAAATATTTCAGCAAATATTTATTTAAATCAAAAATAAAATAAGTTCAAAAAATATTTTATCTTTTAAATAATTATCTAAAATTAACAAGTCAAATAAGACGATATTGTTATCACTAATTATCTTTCACTAAATAAATATTACTCAACCCTTAATCAACTCTGCCATTGTTTGTCTAATCTCATGGACAATTTTGAAGATTATTGTTTTAAATTAAATATTATTGTATCAATTATTGTTTTAAATTAAATGATAATGTTACTTATTTTTTCTTCGCGAGATAAACACTTGTATCAACAATTCCCTTTATCAAACAAGCCCCTTGTTTTTTCCAAGTATCAGCTAATTTAAATAAACATGACATTTGTTCAGATATTCTCTCGAATCTTCTAGAACAGTGGAGTAATGGATTTGTTGCACCGTTTACTTGTAAAACTAGGACATTGTGAAATTTGCTTCTAGGGACACTCTAGGCGTTTTTACCAATACATTGATTGACATGCACTCTTGTCAGAGAATAGTTATTTCAAAAATATATTGCCAGTATGTGGCCATCGATAAAAATGTTCAATGATTGGGGTATATAATCACACTGAAAGCGTAGTATAATCTATGGTGATTATAGGAAAATTGACTATATTGTGCAAATTATGCAATAATTACGTTACTATTGAGAATTAAGCTTTCTCTTTCTTCATACTTTCATTATAGCGTATAATTTAATATTTGAAATAAAAACTATGCACGATTAAAAAATATTGACGGTGTTATTTTGTTTGTAAATATTCGAGAGAAATGTGGAAAAATTATAAGATGAAATGAACGAAGAAAGAATAAAACGCTTATGAAATATGGCGCTATTTGTCTCCTCATGTTCTAAGAAAATTAAGAAACTTCCATTACAATTAAATGTTTGTAGGATATAAATAACGTGTGACTGGAAAATTATTTCTTATTTAATGAATAATTTAAACGGGAAATCTGCTATAGCATCCTTTATTATAAAAAAGTATAATAAAATTCATCTGATACATCTTAATTACAAATATTATTTCAACTGGTATGATTTGATTTTATTTCTCAATAAAATTTAAATGATTCATAATTGGATGGTGTCTATGAGAGGTAACGAGTAGTAATATTTTTTTTAAATATATATGAAATATTTGGTAAAAATAAGATAAGAAATGAATTAATTTTTTGATGTAATACCATATTTTTTTTTTAAATACCTAGCTGTTGTCAAGAATCTTAAAAAAGTATTCCACCTGTGTAAAATTGTAATGAATATACATATATAAATTATATATTTAATACGATACAAAATATAATAAATGCAAAATAATACTTGAAAATCTATTTTACCTCTAATATTCCATCTTCTGGTAAGTCAGAACAATGTACAGCATTTTGTACTTTTGTTTTCCCATACTTTGCTCGAAGAGTATCTGGCCTGATTTGCCGTGCAATATCCTGTTATATGGCAGTATATATAGCATTATGTAAAAAAATAATAAAGCAACAAAAAAAAAAGCAGAAAAGGAAAAAGTATTTTATTATTTATATATATTTACTGGATCCATAGGTCCACACAGTTTTCTAAATTCTCCTTGAACATCATATTTGTCATCCTTATGTTTTATTTCCATAACAATACATGGTCCTGATTGTAATTCCCCTACCATAGCCTAAAAATAAGATTGTCATTAATATTTTTTAAAAGAACATATTTTATAATTAAAAGACATTATTCTAATCTAAATGTACCGCATAATCAGGAAGAACTCCCTTATAAACTTCTAAAAATTCTTCTGCGTCAAATGGGTTGACACAAAATTGTTGTACAGCAGAGATAGTATAACCAGCTTTCTGCACATCATCAATAATATTTCCTGTGTTAATAACCAGCAAAGTATAAAATGGTACTTGTTGAAAAAATGATTTATCACTTGAAAATATAATTTTCTATACCAGTTAATTTAGCTTGAACAGCATGTGGTTTAATAATACAGCAAGTACAATTCTCTAATGTTGCTGTATTTGCTGGTCCTTTTTTACTAGTTTTTGGACTAGGAAAGAAACATTGTAGTTCCTAAAAAAAGCCATAAAGAAAAAGTAAAACAGAATATTTGTACCAGTTTTCTATATAATATATGTTACAAAAATAACACACACTTTTCCTGCCACTTCCTCACTATCAGAACCATACACTGCATTGTGAATATTATCTTTACCATAACATGCTCTAAGGGAGGATGGAGCTTTTACAATAGCTTCACTGGGATCTTCTGGTCCCATTAATTTTTGCCAATGTGTAATTGCATGATCACCCAATAGTTCTAAAGCTACAATAGGACCCGAAGTGAGATAATTTACTATATACCTAATCAAAAATACAGAAAATAATATTTATACTTTAAAATTAAAAAGGTATATAATAGGACATATCTTACGCTATATTGGCTTCCTCTTTGTCTTTATATATATCTGTTGCCTGTTCTTGTGTTAATTTAACCATTTTAATATTGGCAATATGAAAATGAGAGGCAACTATGTACTTCAATATTTCTCCTAGTTTTTCAACAACAGTAGGTTTTATTATGGCAAATGTTCTAAAGTGAAAAGAAACTTATGATAAATCTTAATAAATATATAATGTTCAAATATAATACTATCAAACATAATAATATACTTTTGCATTTTTGTTTGTAATTTTGTTCGTGTAGTAGAATCTGCATAATCTGTTATCCTTATACTTCTTGAAAATATTGTTACAGTGGCACCTACATAAAAATCTTTTGCCTGAATTCCTTCGCATTTTGTCCTTCTTAAAAATGTTTTTCTGGTTTTTATATCAAACTAAACATGAAAAAAATATACATAATCAAAATCACATTTTTTAAGATATTACAAATTAAAAATTTATATTAGACATACCAATTCAACAGTATTATCAAATGGATAATAATAGAGATAAAATTTCTTTAAAATACAAGCTATTTTGTCGTACCATTCAGCTTCAAAAATATATTTTTCATTATGTTCCATCGACATTATTTCAGTCAAGTTTATTTACACTTCTGTCAAAACCTAAAAATCAAACCTGTTAATTATGTGAGGTTATGTTTCAAATGTTACCAACTTTAAGTCAAAATTATTTGGATAATATGTTTCTGTTATCACACGTTACTATGGAAACTGTTGGAAACTGTCATTTAAATTTCTAACATATTTTTATACCACCATGATTACTTCTCAGCTGATTAATTACAAGTATCCCATCTGTTGATTACTTTCCTAAATCTTAAGTAAATTTTAGTTGTATGTATATTATAATAAATAAATGAAAATTTAAAAACTATATTAATTTATGAAAGAGAGATATAATTTTCAAATGAAAAAATTTAATCAAATTTAATATAAATTATTCAACATAATTAAATATTAATGAAATTTTTAAAATAAATCGCGAGGATCGTTTTGTTCAGTAATATTAATTTAATTCAAAAAGAAATTAACATCCATGGATAACTCAATAATGCGGAATTTTAATAATTTCACAACTTTAATGCAATCCGTAATTCATTTTTCGAAACACTAATAAAAAACCGCGATTTGCTTAATACGATGATGGGCCGATATCGGCCAAAAAAAGAAAAAAATATATACTACATACTACTTCATACTACTACATAT